TGAGTCACATCTTCCATCTTCCACCCGCCGCCAGTTCCCCGTGCCGCTCAAATCATAAAAACCACATACGCACGTCGCGAGTCTCTCCAACTCGCCTTAGCGTGTTTTGAATAGGCCTGTTCGTTAAAGCTGCGGCCGCAAGTGGGGCACTCCACCATGGGGCCCGTAGGACCCGCCTCCTCAGCGTCCGGGGGGATGCCTCCACCCGCTCCGAAACCACCTCCACCTCCACCAAAGCCCACGTCATCGACAACGCCATGCCGGTGGCGGTCGGGAAGAGGAGCTGGCGGCGGCGGCGGGGCCGCCGCCGCTCGAGGCGCCACGGATCTTGGTTGAGGTTCCGGCGGCGGGGGAGCTGGCGGCGGCGGCGCGAGGGCCTGACGGCGGGCAGCGGCAGCCGGCGGCTGCCGGCCACCGCCACCGCCATTATACTCTCCGTTGCGATTGCCACCCGGCGCGTTACGGCCATAGCCGCCGCCGCCGCCGCCGCCGGCCGAGGATGACGAGGTGCTGTACGCTGGCTGCTGCCTAACGCTGCTACTGCCGCCGTACCCGCCGCCGCCGCCGCCAGCAACAGGAGCATTAGAACCCGGTCCCGAAGTTCTGCCTGACGGAGGCCGACCCGCCGCCGCAGTAGCTGGTCCCGTGGATGCGGACCGCGCCGAGCTGACGGCAGCCTGCCCGCCGCTGCCGTACCCGCCGCCGCCGCCGCCGGTGGCGCCACTGCCGAAGCCACCGCTGCGGCCGCCCGAATTTGTGCGGACCGGGAGGTTGCGGGCAGGCTGTGGGTTTGCCATAGCGGACGGCACGTATCCCCCGGTTTCACCTGCCGTACGGCAACGCCAGCAGCGTCCCAAGGCGGGAAACGGGCGGGGAAAAAACCTCAGGAGGAGGAAGGTGCCACTTTGAAAAGCTACCTTAGAGATTATTTAGGCCACATACAGATGCAAACAAACAAACAAACAAACAAACAAACAAACAAAAACAAAATCTTCCGCACACCGCAACCGCGGGGCCGGGGAGGGGGGAGTTGCGGCCTCCGCCGTCAGCTCCCCTCAGCTGTTACGAAGTTTGAGTTGCGTCCCCCTTCTTCGCCACATACATACAGACATGCATACATACACACACGCTCTCTTCGCCCCCTCCCCTCCCCCCTCAGAGGGACAGTTGCATCATATTGCTCTTTGGCGGCTCTTTGCGGCCGTTGGCATGCTTTGGCCGGTTTTGTTCCTTTGCTGTCCCCGTATTCACTAACACTAACACTCACTATCACTCAAACACTCAAACACCCACATACTGTCTTACCCCATCAAACTGATCGCCCGTACCTCGTTCATGTAACCGCAGAAATCCGACTCCTAGGCTTCAACCGCCCAGCTAACAAGACATTCACTCCCCTCCCCACCCCTTTCCCCCCCCACCGCCATTACCAACCCCCCAAGGATCCAGGGCTCGCCTCAACCAACCAACTGCACTGAGTTCAACCAACCAACCAACCAACCAACCAACTGCACTGAGTTCAACCAACCAACCAACCTCCAAGCCACCGGGGAGAGTCTGTAAAGAGTGTGTCTGTGTGTATGTAATAGGGGAGAGGGGAGAATTCCCTAAGTCCTGAAACCTCCCACCGCCCGGTCGAGTGCCCGTACCGTCGTACCTGATGTACGACTGCCCGCTGACGGAATCCGGCTGACCAGACGGGCCGTGGAGGCCTCTTTCAACCGCTGCAGCCCAGACAGCTTGCTGCTCATGCCGCCACCGCCACCGCCACCGGCGGACGCAGGCGCCGCTGAGCCGCCGGCGGGCGGGGCGCGCGGAATAGCCGCTCCGCCGCCTCCACCCCCAGCCCCCGCACCAGTCCCGGCCCCGGGGAAGCGGCTCGAGGACGGTCCAGGAAACTTCGGGATGGCTTGAGGGGGTTCCATATCCATGCCTCCTCCTGGGTGGAGCAGTAGCACATTGTACAGCATCGTCCGGCCGCCGCTTAAACTCGTCAGCTTACTCTCTTTATCTCTCTTCATCTCTCTCTCTCTCTCTCTCTCTCTCTCTCTCTCTCTCTTTGCGTTTCGGCATCAGTGCTTGTACTGGAGTTTGAGTAAAGCTAAGTAAGGGATCTCCATAGATGGACCGGAACGTTTCAGTTTAGTGCAGTAGGGGGCCGTGGTTTTCGGCAGGCAAACGACACAACACAGAGAACGGGATGAAGCGCAAGTGCGGTGGTGATGGCGCTGGGTGAGGGTGTGGGTGCTGTACGACTGTGTCTGTCTGCTCCGAGTTGATGGGGTGTCCTATGGAGCAAGGGAAAAGACGGAGGGGACGTGGCGAACCAGGCTATGCAAGGCAACCAAGGATAGGATGGTTGTGGAAGACCATAGCACAGCTCAGCATAGCGCATAGCATAGCACAGCACACAGGTGGATGGTGGAAACCCCCCTCGGCCTCATCCGCCGTGAACACGGTGGGCAGCCCTTAGGCCCCAGCCGTGCCTGTAGGAGTAGCGCCTGGCGATGCCCGGCGCCCAAATCGAGGTACATGGGAGGCCGAGCCAGTGTCTGAGCCGTGTGGTGAGTAGCCTACGCTTCCAGCGTCATCCCCCGAAGGTGGCCGCACCATACCCGCGCGCCGGCCTGCGATCGACAAGCCGCGGACAAGCGAACGTGCTGGGAGCCATGAAAATCATAACGATATTTGTGCAAGCGTATATGCCATTATGATGTGATGCAAAGGTATCGTGCAGAGCACACAGGGGAACTTCGAAATATGGTGTGAAGGCATGCAAAAGATATGTCGCAAACTCGCTGCCGCACCTGAAGAGATCATATTACTTTGGGAATTTACTGAATAGTTACCTTGTCCCTGTGCATTATAGGCATGTTGCAACATGTTGGACTATCTTACACTTTCAAGTGCCACGGACACGGAAGTCCTTGGTAGGAGCTTACCACATAGTTTCGCTCCATATGGGGACCAAAGATTGTGAAGGCAAGGTAAGTTTGCCAACAACTTAGCTGTTTGCGCAGGTACCGATGGAGGGCAGAGGGTTTCGCTAACTATGCTCGGCTTCGCGCCCTTCGGCAACGGAAAATGATCTATGATCCTAAATGAAATTATTATGTTACAACATAACACGTTAAACCATGGTATCGATTTTCATTTGCAAAGGCATCTGGTCAAGCCAAGCCAAAAATCGAAAAGATACAGCCTGGGGCATACAGGTATTTATACAGATGTCGAAAAATGACAAATGTACCTGCTCAAAAGCGATGTAAAAAATATGAGGTATTTACATTTCGCCATGTATGGCCCATGCGGTTCCCGCGGTCATTTATGTATGTTATTACAGGGTGGTTAACTTCGCCAGCGGCCCCCTTTCCCGGGGCAGTCCCTGCTCTCCCCTGCTAGAGGGGCACCCTAATCCGTCACCCCATCCGACTTCAGAATGTATTCGTTGGGTTCGGCAACTCACCACCAGCATCCAACCAAATCTAGCGGATCAACGGCGCATCAACTTAGTTCCTGGTCAGCTCGCAAGTTGATATTATCACGTCCTACACCGTCCATATGATGGGGGGCCACCTCCCATTTCATCACTCCTCAAATACCCGAGGAGCTGGCAGGCGGATTTGAACCCGGGTCGACTGGATCGACTGGGAGCAGAAGTCAGGCCTTAACTTCTGCCAGCCGCCTGCCTAAATTTATGTACGGCACCGCAGTGTAACGTACGGCGTTTCTCAACTCGTGCAGCGCACTTTGTTACCATCTTTGCGTTGAGTAAATTTCACACCGTGCACCCCTTCCTGCCGAACACCCTCAAGCACGTCCACACTACAACGTTCTCGGACTTAGACGGAGTTGAGTCTAGCGCGCTGCGCCTACCCGGAAGCATGGTCCCTCCCCGGACCATATCCTAACACATTCCCATCGCGTTACCAGCAACCCCCAAGCTATGATTACTTCAATATTCACCCTGTCAATGAAAAATTTACGGCATGTTTTGGCAATAAAAAAATCTGTATTTAACCGGAAGCCGAAGGTCGTTTCTGCATCTCTGGAGATCTCCATGCCCGGGAGCTACACCACCGGAACTGCACTCCTTTTACAACATATCTTTTCATGTCCCGCCTGTCGCCTGATCAGGCTACCGTAATAAGAATCAGCGCTAGCGGCATGAGATTGCCTAATTAGGCCGGAGGACGATCCACGTCGGCATCCACTCGGATGATGCGGCCCAGAAGTCGACTGCCATCCAGTGATATGGCACGTTCCTGAACCCGGGGGATGGAGGGGGGAATTAAGAGGGGGCAAGGAGTGAAAGGGAAACGGGGGCAAACGGTAAAAGGGAAGCGGGGTGTGTGTGAAAGGGAAGTGGGGCAAGGGGTAAAAGGGAAGTGCCGGACAGAGCAAATGAGGAAAGGACAGGGTTGTGCGAGGCGGGGTGATTCAGCAGGGCCCGGGGAAATACACACATCTACCCTGACACAACCCCTCGGGATCTCGTTCCCGGTTTCCTTCTTGGAAATTTCAAACACCTGAACACGTTCAACCATCACCACAAGTTGACTTGAACAACCGAGAGGTGTACGAACGCCGTTACACGTTACATGACGAAGCACGTATACATACATACATGTACGTGCACATGTACGTGCACAAGAAAGCA